CGTTGAGGACTGCAAGATGAAGCGCATCACGGGGGGTCAAAAGCAAGGAGCTCCTCATCTGGGTCACCATCTGCGACATGTACATCGACAAGAACGACTACTCAAAGATCACGTTCAAGACGCCCACCGGACTGGGAAGGACCTTCCCCGTCTTCGCCTATGGAAAGGAGGATGACAACAAGCACGACGTGGCCAAATAAGAGACCACGGGCGGCATAAAGAGTCATTTTTTTGCTATCATACAGAGTTTGACACCACGATGAATACTACATTTACTTATTTTCTATATATGACACAACTCTTGATCAAAGATGTTTTCATCACGCTCATCCTGTGCAAGTACTGAAAATAGAGGTAACAGATAGTTGAGTAGCAAGAAAATTCTTAACAAGTAACAAGTAGCACTAGTAACAAAGGTGCAGTAAGGTGAACCAATCATTTTTGTAATTGAGGACAAAGGGGTCCTCGGGCCGCCGGCCTATCTCTCATGGGCCGGACTGGTGGGCCGCTCTTGATTCATTAAAGGAAGGCCAAACTACAGGTGACCCCGCGATGGAAGGAAACCTCTGAAGACTTGGCGTATACTCCACATTTGGTAGCAAAAACAACATGTTTATCCCCTAATGGAGACCAACCATGTGTATCCCTAGGTACCCCTGGTGTCTATATAAACCACATGGTTTATCCTGTAGGTGGGAGAAACATTATCGACATACCCACCTAGGGTTTAGTTCATCTAATCTCGTGGTAGATCAACTCTGTAATTGGAATACAAACACATCAATACAATCAACAGGACGTAAGGTTTTACCTCCTCGAGGGGGCCCGAACCTGGGTAAACGTTGTCTCTATGTTCCCTGTTACCCATCAATCTAGGATCCACACCTCGGGACCCCCTACCTGAGATCTGTCGGGTTTGACGCTGACATTTTGGTGCTTTCATTGAGAGTTCTGTTGTAGGATCGTCAAATGATCGATGGCTCGCTTAGTAAGTGTCGATGTCATCTGCGTCGGGGATATCTGCGTGACCGGCTATCTCTTCATGTTTGGCAGCATCGTTCTACACACCAACCCAACCGGCCACCTTGACAAGATCGACAGTTTCACTCTTGAGTAGGAAATCTGGTTCGGCAACCTGGAGTTCGTCATCGACGTTCGGGGCTATCTCATCTTTACTGGGTTCTCAGCTTTACCTAAGGGGCCCAGCAATCCCGAAGCCACAATTTCGGACCTTCTCCAAGATCCCATCTTCGGGTCGGCCTCTATCTCGGATATGGCTTTGTGCTCGGATCTGATCACAGCGTCCGAGGACCAAGGGTCAGCCTTGGCAGAAGGCACCCCCTATGCAAGCATACCGGAGGTTAACTTCCAAGGACTTCAAAGGATGAACCTCGCTGACCTCTTGTTGTTAGACGATGCGTTAGATCGGATCCAGACGTTGAACATCAGACACAAGTTTGCCGAGTTCCGCGCTATAATGAACTCGATAAAGCGCAGGCACAAATTTGCTAAGTTGGACTCGATGTTACTGCTGAAGTTACTCCCACTTTGGTTAGTCCCAGGATCAATAGTGCCAGATGCCGCTAGATCGGTGCCCATAGGCCTATCCTCCTTCTTCCCCCCGCCGCCAGGATACACAGGAGTTTGATGTTGCTGCATAAAATCACGGTTTGGAGAGCTGATTTTTTCACCGCCATATCCATCAGGGTTAGAGCTATTAAACAAATGATCATCAACATGATATTCACCCCCTTGATCAGTAGGATTTAATAGCTCTAGAGATATCAAAATTATTTCAGCACGTAGGCGAGCACCGGCATTGCTGTGGAGAGCAGAAAAAGGAAAAATATTTTCATCAAATGCAACATCCCTAGAGATGTAAATGCGGCCAGTGAAGATGTCAAGGCACTTGAAGCCTTTGTGAAGGTTGCTATACCCAAGGAAAGCACATTGCTTGGACCGCAATGCGAGTTTGTGTTTATTGTAGGGTCAAAGATTGGGCCAGCAAGCACACCCAAAGATTTGAAGAATAGAGTAGTTGGGTTTTTCATGAAACAGCCGTTCAAAGGGTGTCCCAAAGTTGATAACCTTGCTAGGAGTTCGGTTTATCAAGTATGTTGCAGCAATGAAAGCTTCATCCCAAAATTTGAGGGGCATGGAAGCTTGAGCAAGAAGGGACAAGCCTACTTTGACAATATGTCTGATGTTTCTCTCTGCTGAACCATTTTATTGGTGAGCATGAGGGCACGAGACCTTATGTGATATGCTTATCTTGGTGAAAAGGGAGTTTAATATTTCATACTCCCCTCCCGAATCTGTTTGAAGAGCAAGAATTGTACGGTCAAATTGTCATTCTACAAGATTCTAAAAGTCAACAAATTTCTAGAAGACCTCAGACTTGTGTTTGATTAGATAGATCCATGTGAATTTACTGAAGTCATCTATGAAACTCACATAGCATTTTTTATTCTTCCTACTGTTACAAAGGCAGGACCCTAAACATCAGAAAACATAAGTTCTAATGTAAATTTTGATTCATTTATTGACTTTGGATAAGGAAGTTGGTAACTTTTGCCTTTCTGGCAGGCATCACATACAAAATCATTATTGAAGGACGTAGCACATGGGAGTTTATTTTTCTCACTAATGTCTTTGCTGACAATAACAAAAGACGGATGCACGAGACGTCAGTGCCACCTACCCAAGGATAGCTTGGTAGCACTTAGCACTTGCTTCTTGACGTTGGGTCCGGTGTGCCTAACTGGATAGAGACCTCTCCTACCATTTCCTTGAAGGAGTACCTTTCTTGTTCCCTATTCCTTTACAAAATAAGAATAGGGATGAATTTAAACAAAAGAGTTATTATCAATGGCAAGACGACTAGCATAGATTAGACTTTTGTTGGCTTCGAGTACATGGAGAATATAATTCAAATGAAGATCACGATCTAGGGTGTGAATAGCAGAATGACCAATATGTTCAATAGCCATACCTGAACCGCTTGCAGTATGAATCGGCTCATTTCCGGTGTAGCAATCACACACAGTCAACTTCTCCAGGTCGCTCGTGATGTGGTCGGTGGCACCACTGTCAAGGTACTAGTTGGTATCCACCCCATATTGTTGAGAGGCGAGATATGTTGATTTCTCCTCTACCCCTTGATAGGACTCGTCATAGCGCTTCCAACACTTCCAGGCTGGGTGGCCCATTTTACCGCAGATCTGACTCTGGACCCTGGGGGCAGAGGCATGGTTGGTGTAGTTGCCCCCGCTGCCACTGTTGTGTCCACCACCGCCACAACCGCCTGGCTTGGATTGCCTCAGCCACCGCGGTCACCACCACTCCCGCCTTGCTTGCGGCCACGGTCATCACTCCCGCCGCCGTTTTTGGCGAAGCGGCCTCGAGTGGCAGCATTGGCAGAGGACAGCGATCCTCCACCACGAAGATTCATCCTCGTCTCCAAGCTGAGCAGCTGCGAGAATAGTTTGGCCACGGTGTCCGATTCCACCTGGGAGCACATGACAAAGACCACAGGATCAAAGTCCTCGTCTAGTCCTGCCAGGATGTGGGAGACGATATCTCCTTCGTCCATCTTCCTCCCTGTAGCGATCAACTCGTTGCAGAGGGACCTAACCGTCCCAACGTAGTCGGTGATGTAGGAACTGCCCTTCTGCAGAATGGCGTGGGCGATTCTGGTGTTAGTGGTGTGAGCACGAGTATGAGAGGCAATCATGCCCTCCAACATGTTCTAAAGCTCTGCCGAGGTGTGGCAGGATGCAACCTGGACGTCCATATCATGAGGAAGCGTCGTCAGAAGATAGGAGAAGACTTGTTGATCTCGCGCATACCAGGTTTGGAGGACAGGGTTTGCCGCCTTCGTCGTGGACTTGCCATCAGAGGAGGTCACGTCAATTTCCCTCTATGGCGGCAGCTGGTTGACGTCGAGGTACCTCTCCATCTGCGCTCGCCGGATGGCGGAGAGCAACGTCGCCCGCCACAACGCATGATTGCCCTTGGTGAGCTTCTCGGTGGTGGCATGAACAAATGGAGAGGATGAGAAGGAACTTGAAGACATCGCCATGAATGGTTTTGAGGAAAGCTCTGATTACCATATGAGAAAACGAAGGGTATGCAGTTCTGCAGGGACGTACTTTTTATATAGCACAAAAAGATTACAGAGGGCACAGGTTATTGCTAGGCTTTTCCCCTACTCCAAGCTATACATAGATAAGATAAGCTCTAGCCTAACAACCTGCTGTATGTAGATTACACGCAGGCATACACAGTCCTGATAACACACCACGTTACACCCTATACATGTTTACAAGCCTATCGTTTAACACAACGCAACATCCGTACCAGTTGTACTACGTTTAGTCCAACACGGTAATAGAATTTGGCTCACACAATTTAACAGTCGTGGTTCCATTAATTCTGAAAATGTGCACGACTGATCCTAGAACATTCCTCCGCTCCCTTCCATTTCATGCGCTCCATTGATCTCGGTCTACAAGCACAAACAGCCCACAAACACGGCAATCAATAGAAGTTCTCAATCAACTAATGACCCAAAAACTTCCATAAGTATTAATCGAATTGACTTTTAAATTCTAAATGACACTCGACAACAGGACCCACCTGCCAGACTTTGCCGAGTTGTTTCTATTAGGAACTGGGTGAACATAAGATTCGGCCAAGTTTATTTAGTTTGTCGAGTCCTCTTTCATTGGAAATATGAGAACTATTAAGTCTGCCAAGTTGGGTATCACTAGCTACGGAGTTCAATTTTGAATCAAAGTCAGCAGACACAAGTTTGCCAACTTCCACGATAGAATGAACTCGTTAAAGTTCTGGAACTCGGCACAAAACCAGATTCTAGTAGTGACATATGCATGTGTTGAATTAAATGTATCCCTTTCAATGCACATGGCACAAATACTTACCAAAGAATCTCGATTCGCAATCATATTTATGCATGCGTACAATTAACGTGGGCGTGATCACAGTGAGCTGCAGTCGGCAGTTTGGAAAGAGAGCTCCTCCTTAGTAAGGTCGTACAGCAAGTGCATGTTCTGCAACTGGAAGTTGCCGATGATGCTCACGCTGCTGGATTTATGCATCACCATGCATGAAATGGAATCATCCAGCGGCACCCAGTAATTCTCTGGCGGCAGCACCATGTCCGCTCCACCACTGAAGTGGAACACCATGGACGGCACTGCCTTTTCCTGCGCCACTGCCACACACAAGTCGATCCCACTGCCGGCTGGTGGCGGCAGGAGGCTCCCGTTTAGCTGCCTCCGGAGCTCCTCTCTCAGAGGCCTGTACGCCCCATCGACCAGAACCGAAGTGGGGTTACCGGAGTCGACAAAGACACCGCCGCCGGTGCCGTTTGGTTTCAGAGCGAACATCATTGGTGGGATAGAAAGCCTTGTTTGTCCAACGCTTATCCCGATGAGTGGGACATAGTAGAATGGGTACTTTTTAGGGCCTTGCACGAAAGACATGGACATCACAGGGCTGCCGCCCCTAAGGCTCGCCGAGGCGCCGACGAAAAGGTGACTCCTGGCACCGGGAGTAACGTAGCTGCGGAGGTAGGGGGTGTGGCAGTAAGAGAACTTGCTGGCACCTATCTGAGAGACGAGCGACAAGGGGCCACGGCCAAGCCCTATGAGGCCCGACGACCCGTCAAGGGACCCCGGAGTGAACTGCAGCGTGTCGACGCAGCCGAACGTGAGCGTCACCGAGCCATGTTCAAAGGCGAAGACCTCCGTGCCGATAGACCCTCTAGCGTCGCCAACGCCGTAGAAGGCCCCGAAAGCGCAGCTGCCATCCTGGCGGCACGAGTGCGCCCGGTTGGCTAGGCACAAGGTGTCGTTGCATGGCACGGGGTGGAAGCTGTCCGACTTGGATGCGTTATAGTAGGGCAGGCCTTGCATGACGCAGGATCCTTTGAGGCTGCAGGTGGAGCACTGCGTCCAGATGAGGTCGCTACCGGTGTCGATGAGGGCCTCGGCGCGCTGCGGTGGGTTGCCGATCAGGTACTCGGCAATGTACTGGCTGGTGTTCCAGTGGACCGGTGCGCTCACGTCGACAAAGGACGTCAGGCGCTGCCGGCTGCTGGCCATGGCGCGCTGCACGCGCTCCGCCACTGTGTAGTTCCCCTTGCCATCAAGATGGATGAGCTCCATGTGTAGCCCTGCGCTACTACACGTAATTATGGTAGCAGCACTCGAGCACAACGCAACGATAAGCACCAGCCTTATTTCCATTGTTTCCCTTGTTGGTTTGATGCAAGCTCCTCACCATGTTATAGCTTAATTGGTAACCTATGGCCTCCATATATATTCATCTGGATAACATGTGGAAACAAACAAACTGACGGAGGATTGACGTGGTACTTTCATGATTTAATAATACACTAGCGTAGTATAATCAAATCTAGGGTGCCGGCCTGAACCATGCACGGGATATGGGCGGACTTCCTTATGGCAGCATAGACATAGGACAGTCGTACTACCATTTTCAAAAATTCTACCAGTATTGATACAGATAGGTAGCAGCTGTCGTTACATCGCTCATCTCTCCAAGTGTCAACCTTTACAAGAAGCTTGGATTTTGTCGCCAAATCCTAGTGTGTGTTTTTATCATTTGTTCTCAAGGGTTGCTACACAATTATTTGACGTGGTAAACCTCCTAGTATACTTATATATCGTGCTGTCTGTGTTCTTGCATGTAATGATTAATCTAAGAACGCAAAGAAAAATTAAGACACAAATACAAATCTATTATCTATGAAAATCCTGAAACATCCATTCAGTTAAATAGCGAATAACAACCTATGGGTCTCCAAACTATTTATTACTATTAAAGTTCACTAGCACAAAAGAGTCTCTTTTGACGTTCATTGTGGGTGTTTGTTGGATTTGATACTAGAAAGCTCATGGAGTCATCATTGCTTCGATATAGCAATGCTTAGAGTAGCATCTTTGACGCCTCGGCCGCTGTCGTTGTCGTCCAAGCATATATACCATCGCAGCATCAATGGAGCAGCCAGGCTGCCGTCGTAGCATTGTCGAAACAGCCGTGCCAACGTGGCAGCACTGCCACGACTGGGAAGCACATCGTCGCAGCATCCTCGAAGAAGTTGGGCATTCGTCGGAGCCTCGCCGCGGTCATCGAAGCACGCCGTCATCGCGGTTTGTCACAACATCGACACAACTGTCAAAGCACACCGTCACAACATCACCGAAGCAGCTGGGTTGCCGTCGTAGCATCGCCAGTTCGCCACGTAATATCATCGAAGCAGCTGGGTTGTCGTCATAGCATCGCCACGGCTGCTAAACCACCTGTCACGGCCGCCAAAGCACATCATCGCAACATCACTGAAACAAATATCTTGCCGCTATAGCATCGCCGCAACCGTCAAAGCGCACCACGACCTCAAAGCATGTCATCGCAACATTGTCGAAGCAGTCAGGCTGCCATCGCGGAATCACCGTGGACGCCAAAGCACGCTGCCACACCATCGACACAGTCGTCAAAGCACAGCGTCGCAGCATTGCCATGACCGTCTGAAGCACACCACTTTCGCGGTTCATCTCAACATCGGCAAGGTTATTGAAGCACGCAGTAGCAACATCATCAAAGCAGCCGAGTTGCCGTCGTAGCACCGCCATGGCTGTGGAAGCACCTATTACGTCCGTTGAAGCACATCATCGCAACATCATTGAAACTAACATGTTGACGCTATAGCATCGCTGCAACCATCAGAGCACACCATGACCTCAAAAGATGTCGTCACAACATTGTCGAAGTAGCCAGGCTGCCATCGTGGCATCGTCGTGGCTGCCAAAGCACGCGTTGCGCCATTGCCACAATCATCGAAGCATGTCATCCCGGTGGATGAGGACCGGTGGCGCACCTGGATGGTCGCACTCACCGCGCTCGTCGTGACGGCCGTCTGGGCGGCGCTGATGGCGATGGTCGTGTGCGAGTCACCGGAGTGGGTCGTATACTTCTAATCTGGAGACCCACTCTTTGAGTGATACCTGGCAGTACGGATCTGAAAGCAGCAAGGCAGCTTTCGTCTCTAAAAGTCTGAATCCCAGTTGTGAAATCCCGACTACCACTGCCGGCCGCGGGTACAGCCGCACACCTCGATGTCGGCGTCGACTTTTCCCTTGTCACAAGTCACAACACGATGGATGCTTGCTCTCGTCGCTCGCGGCCAACTGCTGGAATGTTGCGAGTCAACGGCTCCTCGAGGCGGAAGCTGCAGGACGACGCCGATCACGCTCATTCTCCTCCCCGCAACAGCAAAAGCAACGCATGCCAGTACCGTCCAAATAGTCACGCTGCGTCCATGCACGTTCTGTATGGGCATGCAACAAGCCTTGGATCATTATGTCGACGGAGTACTCATACTCCCTATGTTTCGAAAATGTTAAGAGCATCTAAGAATAAAAATAAGATTTAGAAAAAAATCACACAAAGACAAAGCATGGCCACCACTGCACCGGGGCCTCTTTTGACTACATCACAAACTCTAAACTCTAATGAAAATGCATGGTTAATTTGGCGAGGTTCAAACGTACACAACAGTGCAGCCGTTTCGAGTGAGAGCCACACATGGTGTGCGTGCATGCATTCGTCATGTGAAGAGAAAGATGAAACAATATAAAACATTAATGAATTGCATCCTGCTAAGTGTGTAGTGATATACGTATGACAATGTACATGGATATCTCATGATTTAGCTAGATATTTGGCTGGCATATATATAGTCCATCAGAATGAGTATCCCATTGTCCGAGTCCAGGCAAGTATCGACCCTTCTCAGGGCACTTGCAATGTGGACCGTCGGATTGTGTGTCCAAACATATCCCAGCTGTTGGATCTTCAGAGGAAATGATCCTGACCGTTGGATCGAGTCTGATGTGACTAGCAATAAATAGTGCCTCGTTTTTACACTCTTGCTGCCTTTGTGTATCACAGTGACATACGGGGCCTGGCCAGGGTGAGCTCCAGCCGCCGGTGACTGCGGAGGGTGGTGCACCGATGCTTGCCCTTGTCTGTAGGAAGGGTGTGCCACCGCATATAGATTTGGGTGACCATCGAGGGCATTTTCGCCATTCGATGTGTATGCCCTTGTGTGGATCTTTGTGGGTGGATGGGCTGCGTGTAAGGCGAAGAGGGCACCCGATTGGGTGAACCCTAGCCTCCGTCCCGTCGCGTCCCTCCCACTGAATCTCCCACCGCTGAGCTCGAACAATTCCCCACAATCCCTTGACCCCCGACCTGCAGCAAACGACCACCTCCTACGTCACCACTCCATCCCTTCCGCCGGCGACCCCCCCTACCTCGCCGTCTTGCTGGATCAAGAAGTCGAGGACGTCACCAAGTTGAACGTGTGGTGAACGCGGAGGTGTCATACGCTCAGTGCTCGGTCGGTTGGATCGTGAAGTTGTTTGACGACATCAACCACGTTGTTCTAACGCTTCCGCTTACGGTCTACGAGGGTACATAGACACACTCCCCCTCTCGTAGCTATACATCTCCATGGATAGATCTTGCGTGTGCGTAGAATTTTTTTGTTTTCCATGCAACGTTCCCGAACACATCCCACAAAATAGTGTTGATGAAATACACAGACCGCTGCACTAACCTCTTGCCGGGGGCCTTTGATTCTCGGGCTTCAGCGGCTGCGGTTGTCTCCGGTAGACCTGCTTCTGGTACTTCTTCTTGCTCCCGCTCAACCACCAAGGCCCCGCACACCACTTGAGTCGTTGCAGCGTTGTACAACTATAAGGCTTCGCGTGGCTGAGGCGCGACAAGGATTGGCGGGGAGGCAAGATATTCTTTTAGACTTTGGAGGGCACCTTCTGCTTCCGGCGTCCATTCCATGGGACCAGTCTTCTTCAAGATCTTGAAAAATAGGAGTGATTTTTCCGCCAATCGAGAGATAAATCTCCCGAGGGCAGTGATGCATCCGTTCAGACGCTGGACGCCCTTTATGCACTGAGGGGCCTGCTTCTGCTCGATCTCCTGAATCTTATCCGGGTTTACCTCGATACCCCTATGGGATACCAAGAACCCAAGGAGCTTACTGGAAGTTTTTCCGGATTGAGCTTCAACTGCATCTTATTGAGGTTGTCGAAAGTTTCCGCAAATCTTCGATGAGCGTGTTGAAGATCTTGGTCTTCGCAACTATATCATCCATATACGCTTCAACGTTGCAGTGCAATTGGGAGCCAAAGCCAATCTGAATAGCCCTATGAAAGGTGGACCCGATATTCTTCAACCCAAAAGGCATGCAGGTATAACAATATGTACTGCAAGGGGCGATGAATGCGGTCTTCTCTTCATCTTCTACATCCATCTTAATCTGATGATACCCGGTATACGCGTCCAGGAATGATAACCGATCGCACTCGGCAGTCGAATCTACAATTTTATCAATACGAGGAAGGGGGAATGATCTTTTGTACAAACATCAGTGACATCGCCATAGTCAATACAGAGTCTCTTTTTCCCATTAGACTTAGGCACCACTATAGGGTTGGCAAGCCAAGTCGGATGCCATACTTCTCGGATAAAACCAGCCTTTATCAACTTTGCAATTTCCCCGGCGATGAACTCCTACCGGTCTTGTGCCTGTCGTCAAACCTTTTGCTTGACGGGCTTGGCGCCCGATTTTTCCGCACGTTTATGCTCAATCACCTCTCTGGGGACCCCGGGGAGATCAGAAGGCTCCCACGCGAAGAGGCTGATATTCTCCCGGATAAAGGCGATGAGCGCACTTTCCTATTTGTCAGAGAGGCCAACATCGATGGAGACGGTGTGGCTGCCATCCTCCGAGATAGGCACTTGTTTGATCTCAGCTGCCGGGGCGAGATGGCTAGCTTTTACTTTTTTAGTTGTAGGTGGGGCGGCCTCCCCATCGCGCTTGCTGCACAATTTGGAGTGCTTCTTGCCAGACAGACCCGTTTTGCACTTC